AGGATGAAGCTGTTTTAGCAGACCGGTCGGAAACGCAGTCCGGAATGCAGGTGTAATTTGACATACTGCATCCACACACATCCATAATAACATTTGGGTGTGTAACCAGGGTCGAATACATAATGGGATAGTATGGTACTTCTTTACACTGCCTTTTCTAGATCTGGTGTATATGACACTTTCAGCGTGTCTCAGTTGTCTCGGCTCCTTTGTTGGTTCCCAGTGGCCTGGGTAGCCTCTGCCTCATGGACTGGCCAGTGCCACTTTAAACTCAGACTGACTGGCTGTGTTTAGCCTCTGGGCAGCCTGTCACAGAGCAGCCTGGACAGCGCGCTGCTCCCTGCTTTACTGACCACTTCTTGTCTTGCCTGTCCTTCAAGAGCTGGTGCTCCTCAGGGCTCCATCCTGGGCAATCTGTCCTTCTTCTGGTGCCAGCCCCCATCTGACCTTTCAGGGCTTCCGTAGTTCGAGCCATGGTATTTTTCTTGTTTGCTAGCTGTATTAGTCAGGGTTCTCCAAGGAGCAGAAATGATAGAATGAACTAATGTATACCTACATATTAGTAAGGGATTTATTAGATCAGCTTAACAGACTGTGGTCTGAGTGGTTTTAACAAACCAAATCTGAGAGTTTATTCCTGTCTTTTCCTTTGAATTTGACCCCTCTTCTCTAAGCCGTATTTATTTCCTGGCATCTTTCATCATCTTTCGTGGCGGTCTTTTAGCTTGTCTCCTGCCTTGCAGCTGATAGTTGAATCTTGCTTTTCTCCTCTCTCACACTGCACCACAGTCTTGGCATAGGTCATCGAGTCTCTGCTTAAACTCTGACTTTCTTAGTCTGTGGCATGAAGCTCAAGCTGTGTGTGGTGGTGGCTGGAGCCTCTTCATCTGATTGCCTGGAGCTCCTGACCATGACCTGATGCTTTGATAATAGGTTATGGCTTGGGTGGCTGCCAGCTGAGGGAGGCTGTGTTGACATGGGCTGGTCCCCTTAAGCACTCTGCCTTGTGCTCATGTACTTTTCCCCTTTCATTTCCTCCCCCCACCTTCCCTTGCACCTTTCTTGCCAGCTCCTTCTGGCTCATTTGGAAGGTTCTTCAACTGAATAATCTCTAACAGTTTCCCCTAGGTCTGGAGGCTCCACCCAATACCCCACTGCCGTAGACCCAATACCTCCCTTCTCTTTCCATGATTCTGAAATCCTTGTCTATCTCCCCCTCCCCCCATTTATTAAAGACAGGGCATTGTTTCTTTTCTCCTCCTCTTCTCCCTTCTTCTATTTCTTCTTTGACAGGACAGTGTTTCACATAGCCCAGACTGACCTTGAACTCCTTACATAGTTGAGGATGACCTTGAATCTTGTGATTCCAAATTCTGGTATTACAGGCATGCATCAACACACTGGTCACAGCACCAATACACTGGCTAAGAAGGCAAACCTTATTCATCATTACAGTGGAGGTCATGTGCAGTGTCTGCCCCAATATAATTTTTGGAAATGAGTTAATTTTGAGGGGAGATTGGGTGGAAAGATGTTGAACTCCACTGCAGACATTTTGGGGGGGGGGTATTGTGGGATTCAAATACTTGGTGAGTGAAGAAATGGAAATTAAATTTTATTGTTTTATAAATGTCTATTTTGGGAGAGATGTAATTTGAGGTAATGATTTCTTCATTAGAACCATATCTGTTGTATGTCAACAAAAGGCATCAGTGCTTTAAGCTTTCAGAGACTGTATCCATGCCAGCTGGGTCCATAGCACATACAGATACATCATGTCACCTTTTTGTCCTTGCATCTTGAAGTGCTGAGGCATACATCTGTTCTGTGCTAAGGATAGTACCAAAGAAGAATTTGTCACTTATAAAAAAAAACTACTGTTTGCTTTTATAAATAAAGTTTTATTAGAACAAGCACAAACTGTTATTCACATGTCATTGTCTCTGGCTTCTTTGTACTAAAAACAGTGTGGTTGAACCATTGTAACAGAGGCCATGAAGCTTGCAGAGTCTAAAATGTTTGCCACTGATGTTTTTGACATCAGAAGTTTTTAACTCTTAGAGCCATTTAATTTTGGAAAGAACAAAACCTCTTTTGCTATATCCAATTAGATTAGGATCTGTGATTAGAAATTAGAAGGATCTGCTTTGAAAGAAGTAAGCCTCAGCTGCATGAAGCTGTTGATAGCAGTTTTCCTCCAGCAGCCTTTATAGCTCTGTGAAGCGTAGCCAACTGGGAAGAATCCACCCCGTTAGCACCAGCTTGATAGCTCCCTGTCCTGTGACCCAAGTATGTATTGTCTTCAAAAGTTCTGGTGGGCAACCAAGAACAGTGGCAAAAGCCTGTTGTCTTGGGGGTCTCCAGGATACTCTCATGAACTACTCAAGTGGAGGTATCCCATACCTGACACTGGGCTTTTATTTGGGCAAGCTATGGCTTTTGGAGAAGCAGTATGTCCTTGGGTAACTCCAAGGAAACATTTTTTATGTGAGAGAGGGAGAGGGAGTGTGTGTGTGTGTGTGTGTGTGTGTGTGTGTGTGTGTGTGTGTGTGTGTGTGTGTATGTGTATTTAGGAATCTTAATTGACCTGATAAGATAATACATCTGTGTAATAATGGCATGCATGTTATGGGAGTAACCATTTGTTTCTTGTTTAGATTTAAAGCCTATTCAACAGGAGGAAACACATATAACCATGGCCAAGAACCCATGGTTGGGAGGCTCATAGGCCCCAAGGGTAAACCTACTGTTATTTTGATAAATGGACATAGTGTGCAACTGCCCCCTAAAGTCCTATATCTATACTCATAGATTAGTGTAGCATAGCATCAAAGATATTTCTCTGTTCAGAGGATAGCAGTTAACAAAGAAACTCACACCTGATCAGAATGCTGTGGCGTGCTCAGCTAGAAATGGTACATCTATACCACATCCCCTCCTCCCAGAACTCAAGAAATGTCATGGAAGAAGGGGCAGGAAGATTTTAAGAGATCAAGAAGGACTGGGGCAAGCAGTATCTTTTAGACAAGACTCATCGAAGCTGTGGTTGCCTGCACAAGACCTACACAAGATCAACATTCTAGCATGGAGTGGAGGGGGCTCACCAACCCCTTCTCCTAGCTGAGAAACTTTAGAGAGTTGATGGCCCCGGAGGGAGGGAGGGAGGGAGGGAGGGAGGAGAGGGAGAGTTAGTTTTGTTAGGAGCATGGCCCCTGGCAGGTCAACCATGCGCCAGTAGCTCGTGCCACACCTATACACATGTAGGCAGCACTACTAGACTCATGGGTTATTTAAAAAAACAAAAAGGACAGGACGTAAGGTTGGGAGGGGATTATGCCGGAGGTAGATAATCATATTTCATTGTATACATGTATGAAATTCTTAAAGAATAGATAAAAATACTATATTTTAAAGGAAAAAAAGATAAGCTTTGGCCAGGCATGTTAGTACATGTGTGCCTATAATCCTAGCATTTTGGAGGTTGAGGTAAGAGGATTATGGACTAAAGGCTAGCCTAGCCTACATAATGAGAGCAATTCTATTTTGCAACATAGTTTATCTTGTGGTACTAGAGATTGAACCTAGGGCATGCTTACTAGGTAATGGCTGTACAACTTCAGCCCTCTTACTTTAGTTTTTGATGCACGGTCTTGCTAAGTTGTCCAGGGAGGCCTTAAACTTTGGATCCTCTTCTCCCAGCCACCCCAGAAACTGGCATTATAGACCTGTGCCACCAAGCCTCGCTGTATGTGTCACTGTGTGGGAGCCCACGGGGGTTTCCTGATTCACCAGGAAACTGAGCTTGCTTTACCCAGCAGGGCTGCATAAGGGGATGGCTTGACTATGTGCGTGGTTACCAGGTGTTTGGAAGGGTCTGCACTTGGCTGTGCTAGGGGGAGGTCTATCTCTCCACCCCTTGGCATTCCTTTAAAAAGCCTTGTAGAAGAGACAGAAGGGGCCGGTGGATTAGGATCCAGGCCCTCCTGAGGCTATCCTGTGTTTCTATCTGTCTCCCTCTCTCCCCTCTATATTTCTATCTAAATGTCTTATCCCTCACTCCTCAAGAGTACCCTGGGGGGGGGAGTGGGGGATGGTCCCCCACATTACTTAAAGAAAGATTATCTGCATTTCTTGTCATCCCTTACACATAAATATATATTCATATTCTAAAAGCTGAAATTTAGTGCCGTCAAGCGTATGTAAGATATTGGACACCAAGATGTAGAAAGCATTTGTCCATCTGGAATATCACTGTGCTGAGGCTTCAGCTCATGTCTTTCCTTTAAACAGTTCAATGATCCCTCTGTGTCTTCTCCCCCATGACTGGGTACCTGTCCCCACTCCGCCTTCCGGTCTGAACAGTTGCTCAGTCTTCTGTTTCTGAAAGTAGGCTGCCAGCCTTTACGGCGTTGAACCCTCTTCACTTTCCTGAGGACAGTCTAAGAATTGCTTGTTGACTTAGCTAGGTGTGAAGTTGGCTCATCAGGACCAGTGTCGGCTGGGGTAGTGGTGCTGGATGACTCCTCGGTTGTGTGGGGGAAGGAAGGCCTAGGTGCCAGGCTTGCTTGAGAGTTGGTGGAGACTGGTATGAGGTGGGGAAGAATAGGGGTGCCAGCTTCCAGTCAGCCTTGCCTCTCCTGGTGTGTTATTTCCGGTCAAGCAAAGGTTGTTCTGGTAGATTCCTTGGTGAAACAGGGTTGAAAAGTTGATTATTGTGTGAGTGGGGGATTCATGAGAATTTTCTTCCTACCACTGAGTGGTGTGTACATATGCGTGCAATGTGGTGTCCAGAGGTGAGTAGATCTCATTCAGAGGAGAGTTTTGGCACTGATGACACTGTGTGTTCTCGAAGGTTCAAGAATTTTAGGTTAATAAAAGACTTTGACACCTCACATTAAACCTTAAGATTATGTTTGCATTATTAGTTTTGCTTATGAAAAGATGTCAGTTTTTGCAACAGCAACTTCCTTTTCAGATATAATTAAATGTTTATATTTTAGGTTGCCTGCTTGATTCGAGTTCCTTCTGAAGTGGTTAAGCAGAGGGCACAGGTGTCTGCTTCTTCAAAAACCTTGCAGATTTTTTCTACTATCTTAAAGGAAGAGGTAAGGCTGCTTCCTTCTCTGTTGAGGGAGATTTTAGTGAGAACACTGGGCTTATTGCAGGACCTCGGGAAACAAGGGTGGCTTTAATGTCTAACTACAGTAACTTGTTTGCTGGGACTATCCTTTTCTTTGTTTGTGGATTTTTATTCCCCCCTCCCCCCCCCCTTTTTTTTTTCAAATTTTGAAGCAATCATGTATTGAGTACCACTGCAGCATATCCCCTGAATGTAATCTGTCTTAGGCATCAGAATCAGACAAACTCATTGTGAGATGGAACTAAGATACTCCTTTAGAACATTGCTGCAGAATTTGAGGGCCCATGGGAAAGAAGCAGCATTTAATATGAAAATATAACATAGTGGGCTGGTAATTATCACCAGCATCATAATGTTATATGAAATTGTCATTTCTCCTCTGGCATGGGGCCACAGGCCTTTAATCCCAGAACTCTGGAGGCAGAGGCAGGTGGGCTTTTTAAGTTTTGAAGCCAGCGTGGTTTACACAGTGAGTTCCAGGCTAACTAGGGCTACATAGTGAGATCCTTAAACAGACAAACAAAAACAAACAAGTAAGAAAATGTTCGTTCTCTTTCTGATCAGTGTTGGCTGTGATCAAATCTGCCCTTTTAGATACATGGCTATTAGGAATGCTGCTGATTTCTTTTTATCAGTTTAGTGGAAGCCTCTGTTGTTCTGTTTTTCTTTGATATATGAGTCAAAGTCTTGCTGTATTGCCTCAGGTTGGCCTTGAACTTCTGGAGTTATTCATTTTTGCTGCCTGGGCTCCTGAGTGGCTGTGGCTTCTGCCATCATGTAGTGTCTTTTCTTTTTTTTCCCCCTTAAATAATGTGAGCCAATCTTAGTTTAGATTTAAAGAAAAAGTTATTTGTTTTGGAGGTGAGGACTTCCTGTGTGGTCCTGGCTGGTATTCAGTCTCCGTCCTCATCCTCCTGAGTGCTGAGATGACAGGTCTGTGCCACCACATCCCTCATTTTTCTGGGCTGTTACCGGTTGCAGGAATGAGGTCAGTATAGGACTGCTCACTGGACTATGTGTTTGCCCAAGCATACAACACTAGGCTTACCTTTATAGTTTTTTTTTTTTTTTTTTTTTTTTGGTTTTTCGAGACAGGGTTTCTCTGTGTAGCTTTGCGCCTTTCCTGGAGCTCACTTGGTAGCCCAGGCTGGCCTCGAACTCACATAGATCCGCCTGCCTCTGCCTCCCGAGTACTGGGATTAAAGGCGTGCGCCACCACCGCCCGGCTAGGCTTACCTTTAATATATACTTTATTGAGAGATTATTGACCCAGTTCTGAAATAAGTCCTCTTTTTACATTAAAGGAGGATGGACTGGCTTTTGGAAATATATATAATGTAAATGTTATCAAAAGATAAAATGCTGTTACTTAATACCATGTATCTTGTTTCTTTATTAGAGATGTCAACTTTAAGGGAGCTAACCCCGAGCTTGTGTGCCTTAAGCTGGTTTAGAATGTTTAACTTTAGAAAACTGTGGCCAAGGAATGTCTTAGAACTCAAATTTTAGAGCAGGCCAGTCTCTTTCTAGAATGTTCCTCACAAAATCTTTGTTGTTCCAACTTTCTGATTGCTTGGCTCTTGTTTGTTTCAGGGCATCCAAGGACTGTACCGAGGCTACAGAAGCACAGTGTTGAGAGAGGTAATGTGGATATTTTATTTGTGCTGAAATGTGGTGGTATTTTATTTGTGCTTTAATAAATAAAGCTTGCCTAGAGATCAGAGGAAAAACCAAGTCATTATAAGTAAACACAAAAGTCATGCAATGTTAGCACATGCTTTTAATTCTATCAGCTGGCAGGCAGAGATTTGTCTGGGTCTCTGTGAGTTCAAGGCCACACTGGAAACCACCAGGTGTGGTGGCACATGCCTTAAATTCCAACACTAGTTAACCATGGAGGTCTGGACAGACAGACAGGAAGTGACAGAGCTGGGCAGGAAGATGAAGTGTTGTAGCTGGACAGAAAGAGCAAATCAGATGGCAGAACAGTAAGGAATATAGGTGTGGGTAGACAGGAAGTCACTCACATTTGGAAGCTGAGGTATCGGTGAGGTAAGGTTAGCTTGTGGCTGTTCCTATTCCTCTGATCTCTCTCAGGCTTTAACCCCAATTTCTGGCTCTGTGTTTTTTATTTAATAAGATCATTTAGAAATTCATCTACAAGGTGGGTGGCCTTTGATTGGTGACCCTATGTTTCTTAAGAATCAGAAGTAGAGTTGGAGAACTGTCTTTAGAAAGCAAAAGGAGAATGCCATCACTCAGAAACTGTTTAGTTGCACCTTGGTTCTTCCATTTAGAAGAATGCCATGGGTCGCTCGGTGGGCTGCAGTCATTATTACTCTAGGTGACTAAGTGTCTGGTAGCTGGAATAGTAAAAACACAGCAAGAAGCCACCACGGGGAGGTAGCTTTTGGTTCCCCGATGTGAAAGGCAGTGGCCTGGGGACTCTGTGGGGAGAAACCTGGCGCTTTCCTCTTGGCCTTCTAACTAACATGCTGTACTGGGTGTTTTGGAGTGGGCTGGGGCGGGAGAGGGAGCGGAAAGCAAGATTTGGCCCTCAGTAATGACGTCACTAGTTACTGTAGACAGCATGCTTTAACCTTTGCCTTCCAGCAGGGAGACTGGAGTTTTACATAGTGAGATGTGAGAAGTGGTTTTGGTCCAGGACACAGTTTTCCATGACAGAAGGAAGAACTTGATGATGTTTCCTCCTCTTCTTGGAGTTCTGGGACTAAAACATTTTAACTTGTAAAAGTATTTCCAGTGTAAATAACCTGGGAGTTAGTAGAGTATTAAAATTCTTTGAAAGCTCTTGTTGGCACTCCCTGTGGCTCGCAGGCCTCCTGAGGGCACACAGACAGTGTGTGGTGTGGCCTAGAGCTTTGGCTTTTGGGAGGTAACCCTGAAGGGCTGCCTGCCTTACTGTGGGGCCTGACAGCGCCTTTCTTTTTTTTTTCCTTTTTTTTTTTGCAAACCAAATGTTCTACATTCTTTGCCATTGTCTGTCAGAAATGCCACCTGTGTGAGCCTCCTTCTGCCCTTTCTTTCTGACTCACTGTACCTGTGGTATTTGCTCACCTTACACCTGGATGCAGGAAAAAGTGGAGGAGAAAGTAATCAACATTTTTTATTTTTCTGAAAAGGGCTGAATAAATGAATATATTTCCATTCCAGAGAGTGCTAGTTTTGCATACAAAGAGATAAAACACATGCTCACAACTGTTGTTCCATCCTTTCAAAAATTTGTTTTGACATATGTCGTGCTAGTAATTAATTTTTTGGCTGCAATCCTTGTGAATTGTATGACCTTACCGAGATGACTTTGTTTACTCAAAATGCAGAGCTTTGTAGGCAATTAATTGGGGTCTTGTGCATTCTGCGAGCTCATAAAGGAGCCTTCAGAGCTGATTTCAGTTGAGGTGTTGCTCTGTGCATCGTCTCAGCTGGGATGGAGGGAATTACCGCCGAATGAAATGCAACTTCTTCTCCAAGTGAGACAAATGAGAAGTGATGTGCCTGCTTTAAACAACAGTGCTGCATTATGAGCAGTCTCAAGCCCTGCATTATCCTGACAGTAATATCAAATCTTTTTGTCTAGAGCCCATTTGATTGTTTCAATAAGAAATACATAGAAGCTTTAGTGAGAACCACCAGGAAATGGATACGATTTGTTCAGTGTGCAATTTTTTCTTTCAGATGGTTTTATCTCACTAGCAGTAGCCTTTGGGAGGGGACTGAAGTTTGGCTCCATGAATTAGAAGCAAGATGTGTGTTTTCTGGGCCCTGTGAGCACTGTCACACATGGTGCTGTGTTTGATGTCTGTAGAGGTTGTCTACTTAGCCATCGTTCTCCTGAACTAGTCCGGTTTCTGTGAATTTTGCACTGAGTCTGAACAAGACTATTTACCTCCCTTTTCTCTGTTCATCTTTCTCATGGACTTGACCAAATTAGATATGACTGAGCATCTTGGTGTGTTGGGGTTATTGCAGTAAGATGGAAATGGGGTGCACAGTCATATTCGTGGGTGTAGTCAAGATGATTTCAGGTTCATTGACCTGAAAGTTCTGTGCAAATTAGCCTTGTGCTGTTGAATGTGAACTAGAAGGACTTGGGTAGGGAAAGAAAGCAGAGAAAAGAATCTGTTTCAAAAGAACTTGCAGTGAGTTGAGTTCAGCTGATGCCGTTATCTACAAATTCTACTTAGGGTTATGCAGAACAGCTCTGCCCTGATGGGGACGCAGAGGGGAGTCTTCCTTACCATGCATTTAAGGGCTTGTGGGATGCACCTGGGTGCACTCAGCATTTGTCACACTAATAAAAGTAAGCCTTAGGGCTGGGAAGGAGGGTCAGCTGGTAAAGTACCTGCCACACAAGAGTGAGGACCTGAGTTGGAACCACCCAGAACCTACATCAAAAGAGGGTTGTATTGGCATTTGCCTATTATCCCAGGATTGGAGAAGCAGAGGTAGCCAGATCCCTGGCACTCACTGGTCACCCAGCCTAGCAGAACTGTTGAGTTTGGAGACTGTGTTCCAAAAATGAGTGGGAAAGTGATTGAGGAAGACACCTGATGTTGACCTCTGACCTCCACATGCTCACACATGTATGCATGCATACTTGCATACATGTGCATGTGAGGGTACGCACATGTACACACAGACAGACACAAAATGAGCCATGATTCTTGGAGGCTTGCAGTTAGAAGTAGTCAAAGAGAGAAGTAGCTGTGCTGGCCTGAACAAAGACAGGGAAGGAGTGTGAGTGTGTGGTGCATGTCTCAGTAGAATCCAGGATTTCCTAGGTTTCCCAGATGACCCTCAAGCTAAGGAAGGATGCTTTCAGAGAGCACCAATAAGGTGGGGTGCTTGCAAGGAGGAAAATGAACTTCTCACCTCAGATGCATGTTTGCTGGAAGGCTGGAGGGGAAGACACGAGAGATGCCCTAGAAAGCCTGACTTTATGTCCTAGAGCAGGAGTTTCCAGTTTGTGCTTTTGCTGCTCAGACCTGAAGGGATGGCACTATTGGTGCCATTTGGGTTGTAGATGTTGCCATATTAACAGTGAGTAACTCCTGGTTTCTTGTACAGCAGTGCAGCCACTCAGTAGTTTGAAGGTAAATAAAGATACCCCCGCCCCTGACTTACATGCAGGTGGAATGGATTGTCCAGCCGTTCTGTAAATTTGAGGCCCCAAATTGAGATGCAGAAGTCATTAAGTAGCTCACTCTCATGATCCCTGTCAGGCAATAAGCGTTCCCCTTTAGGAACTGTGGGTTGTCCTTAAAATTTCTTTTCTGATTCTGTTGTCTGCTCTCCTCGGTGTCTCCCCCAAACTCTTCATGTTGTTATGTCTCCTGAGTGCCTACTAGGGCCATTCATTTGATCCTTCGGGCTCCGTTTCATAGTGATGATGTTTGCTAACCAAATATATTTTTGGATCATTTGATTCTTCTTTATGATTATACAAATGAGCCTTTGTTTACTTAGCCAGTCCCCCATTGGTGGCCATTACAGATGCACCCCAATGTGTAATACCATTTGTGTACCATCTTGTACACATGGGTTGGGTTCTTGGTAGATTACGTGGCAAGACATATAATGATTTGGCTAAACAAATAAATGTGTAATTTTGACAGATGATAGAAAGTTAAGTTTGGGGAAGTACCAGTCTGTATTTTTGCTGAGAATTCAGATGCTCCCTTGTCCTGTGGCTTACTGGTGGTGCTAGCAGTCTACGAGCTGAAAATGATGCCATTGTCTTAATTTTAAGTAAGACTTAATGTATTAATATGTGTGTTAGAACTCTTGTTTATTAGGTTATTTGAATTATCCACCAATCTTTGGAGAATTAATCCAGGGGATATATGTAAATCTCTTTTGTCATGCCTCTTACCTAATAGGAACTCAAGAAACATGAACTAAGTTTGTATTCTTGGTCATCAAGAGTCTTTAAAGTTGGAGGCAGGGGGATGACTAGTTCAAGGCCTGTATGAGGGATATAGCAAGATCCTGTCTTCAAAAAAAAAAAAAAAAAAAAAAAAAAGCCAGAAAAAAAGCCCTTAACAGTAAAAAGACGCCTACCTACCTGTAGGATATAACTCTGCCCCCATCTGTGTGCAGGGGCACGTACCCATTTCTGATCCCCATTTCCCCCACTTTGCTAGGAACTTCGCATACTCTGTCTTACTGAGCTCTTAGGTAGCTAGGTAAGATGTCACACAGTAGGACAGCCGACCAGGACACCCAGACTAACACTGACTTGAAGTTAAGTTCTTGTCTCCGGAAGCCCCTTGGTTCTGTCTACATTTGAATGTGTACCTGTGGTTCATGATAGCAGGTGTCGGAAAGAGGGGCCCAGGACTGCTGTTGCTGATACAGCTGCTCAGCCAAGCATCCAGATGCTTCATCCAGATGCCTGGGAGACAGGACTTTTATCATTGTAAATATAGTGTGGGGCATCGTTACTCTAATGGTTGACCTTTCAAAATCATTAATATGAGCAGGTCAGGAAAACTTGTATTTCGTTGCTAATTTACTAGAAAAGGCTAATTTACATGTTTCAAATAAGAGCACCGTCTTGGTTTGCTTTCTATTGCTATGATAAAAACATTCTGGCCAAGAGCAACTTGGAGAGGAAAGGG